ACTAATTACACGGCACCTATATGACTGTCCCCAAGGGCAACCACGTAGCCGTTTTTGAGACAAGATAACTCTATCACTAACCAAACCAGTGGTAGCAGTTGACATCTGAGTCAGATGACCGCCTGTATTACTTGGGATAAATGCAGGGGGTACCTCTTGAGTTAATAGCCAACAAACATTGGCGAATCAAAAGGTTCAGCCGGCCTCCGCCGCCTGGTACCTTTACTACTCAAGCAGGAGGGACGGCGATTGAGTAACACCAAAGTTAACTCATAGCCACTCTCTCAAACTTAGTATGGAGCCTAAAAGGTATGAGTCGTCCGCCTGTTTTTAGCAAACAGGGGCTCTCAACCACTACTCCTGCTAGGTTAACAACCTATGAGTTAAAAGCCAACAAACATTGCCGAATAAAGGGGAACAACCGGTACCCACCGCTTGATACCTCTACTACTCAGTTACTTGGCGACTAGGTAACAATCATGTTTACTTGGTCACTCCTTAAAAATTTTAGTATGAAACTAAAAAGGTGTTCATACAGCACCTGTTCACACTAGATTAAATATGGCGGGAAACAGTCGGCCTAGACGGCCTAAAGTCTCTAGCCTAAAAGCATGACAAGTAGGAAACAACTTTCCTACTTGGTTAATTTTACAAATGACAGGACCGCCTGCCTAAAGGGGATCCAGTCTTTAAAATGGTTCGAATACCGATTGGATAAATGGCCGACTGATCGTCTAGCCTGGAAACAGACAACCAGTCGTCCAGGGGCATAGGCGGCGTGACTAACTATCCGTACCTGTCTGCAACTATCGGCCATGTAAAACAGTCGGTATAGTGTACAATTGGATATCAGAATATTCAATACTTAAACAAATTTGAAGCAAAACAAAAAAATTCATTAAAAAGAAGCCGGTCATTAAAGACCGGCAAAATATTCAGAGCCCCGGCCCCCTGGCCGGGTAAATACAAACAAACGGCACGCAGGCCGTGGGAAGAAGACATAAAGCTTAAGAAGGGGGCAGATCTTCAATATCAGCAGCTGCCGCCTGGTCAGCACTCTTCTTGCTGGACTCGGCTTCAGCTGCATCCTTCTTTGATGCATTACCCCCAAGCGGCACAAGCGCCACTACCGGCTGCTCCTCCTCCTCCAACGCCTCTTCCTCAGCAGCCGCCAGGATCTCTTGATTATATCTATCAGAACACTGGCGGTACGTTTTTTCCCATGAGGAAAAGTCGGCATTGGGGAAGAGGCGGCCCCAAGTCATGCGCTGGATTTGAGCAGAGTCTTCCATCATCTCCCGGACCAGCTCTTTCTTTTCTTGCTCAGCCTTTTCCGAGAGCTCCTGAGTAAGACTCTTCTCCTGGGTCACCAGGCGTACCTTTACGCTCGCCAAGGATTTCTCCAAGGTTTCGTATGAGGACATCTTTTGGCAAAGAGGTCTCAGCTCGGCCTTGAGGTTGTTGATGGTCGCCTCCAGCTCGCTATTCCTCTTCTGGGCCGCCTCTAACTGAGCCCGGATAGCGGCGGTAGCCTGCGCCTGATAATAAAGAATATCAATGGTCAGAACTTCATTTTGGGCAATTTGAAACATTTCCTTATCACAGTCAGAGGCGGCCATAGCTTTTGCAGCCTTTACCTCTTTGTTCTTCCGGTCATGCGGCTTGCGAAGGCCGTTCACTCGGAGCAGGGCCTAAGTAAAAAGGGGAACAGGCGTCAGTTTCCAAACAAAAAGAAAACAGGCGTCCTGGAATTCAAATACTCAAAAATATGCTAAGTATACCTCAGCAAGGACCCCTGCAATCCCGTCTAGGTCAAGGGTGCCGAAACCCCTGACCGCCTCCCTTTCAGCTGGAGGAACGGCCTTGATCATAGACTTGGCCACCTCGACCAAGCCAGGCTCCTGAGGGCCGGCTGCATCAAGCATAAACAAACGGATTAGACCTAGTAAAGAAGGGAGCAAGTCTAAAATTTACAAGGATAATTTCATACTTCTAGGTGGCCCAACTGGAGTTTTAGAAGAAGTGGCCGACTGTTTCTCAGCCGCCACATGTTTCCTGGTAGAACCAGGAGAGCTCGCAACAGTCGTCCTCCGGACCTTGGGGTCCGGCTGTTGGGAAGAAGAAGCTCTTGGAGCGCCCGTCTAAAAAAGAAGAAAAGAGTCAGTATATGCATAAACACAACTCCAAAAAGAGGGTGAAAGGTTCAAAGCCCACCAAGGGTGCCCCCTTGTTGGGGGAGTCGGATGAAGACTGTTGCATGATGGAGGCCCGCAACATGGCCGCCGCAGTCTTGGAGGCGGTAATTTTGCTCATGGCGTCCGCTGCAAAAACAAATAGCAAAGTTAATAAAAGTCATAACAAGAAATGCATGGAACAACAGAGTATTCGACAGGCCGGCTACCTCTTGAGCACCGACTGCTGAGGCCACAGGCGGCCAAAAAGTACTCGTCGTAGAGCCATTTGAAGCTCGGGACGCAGTGCAGGGGTACTTGCTCTCGTACCCCTGAAGTAGAGTTCACCTTCGACTCTACTTTGAAGAGTCCTTTATCTAGGATCTCTTTCTTAGCCTTGGGGGGAACAGGCGACATGCTGCGGCCGCCTGCAAGAAGGGGCGGATTCCTGTTCCACCTGTTGAAGCGCTTGTTCAGCTCTGTGTCTGAACTCTCAATGATAAGGAAGGTGCTCCGCCAGTCCTTCCATTTGTTTGCTTTACCTCTCGTCATGAGGTAGCCCCTGTGGCTCGTCAATTGATACCAGCCGGTACCGCCTGCCTTAGGGGTCCGGCTGAGGTAGTTCATGTGGGCGAAAGCCTCGAAGTTCGGCTCCACCCCGTGCAGTTCGCACCCGGCCACATAGCCGAGTACGTTGACCCAGGAGTTCGGGGCTAACTGCCATAACCCCAACTCATACCCATCCAAGATCCGCTGAACAGCTGGATGTAGTGGGAAGCGCAGCCCAGCCTTGATGGCCGCCTCGTAGCAGCCAAAGCAGGCGCCATCATAACTGGTACCAGCCGGCCATACGACTGTGTCTTCTGGATCCGGCACGAACACTAAAAAGCCGGGGCCCATTGTGTGGTTTGCGATAAAGCTCTCCACTTTCTCTTGCATGGCCGTGATCCGGCCCCGAGGTACCGTGCAGTAGTAGGGGGTATTTTGCTCTCGGTGAGAGGCGGATGGCTCCGCCCAATCGTCCCCCTTCTCAACTGCGTGAGAAAGCCTCGCCTCTTGTAGGCGACTGTTTTTCTCTTCTGTGTCCAGGGAAGCATGACCAGAAGAGCTAGACTCGGAATCGTCCTCTGACGAGTCCGAAGAGGACGACTCTTCCCCTCTCCTGGAGGGGCCCGCCTCCTCTCCTTTAAAAGGAGCAGGAGAGAATGTAGAATTGCCAACTGTAAAATGGGAAGGGGTCACTTTGACTCCTCCCTCAGAACTGCCGGCTTTCAAGTCGCTTTGTTTCACTTCCACATCTGGCGCCTGGTCAGATGTTTCACTAATCGGCACCCTGTGGGAGGAGCCGTCTGAGTTTGAGATCCTGGCAGTCTTTTTTGTTCTGGCCATCATGTTCTGCATAGACACAGATACAGTCGGACTTTGTATAAAGGGCAAAGATGGGTCCAGAAAAGGGCAGGCGGTACTCCTAGTCCTAGATTCAGCCGTCCCCGGTGACCGGCTGATCACTAACCTAGGTCGTGTTGTGTGCTTCCGTGGTGCCATTTCAAAAAAGAATAAAGTAAAGAGAAAATTAAGAGTAAGAGAACCGACGGTTACCTGAACGAGTGACGATTGATGAAGTTCTGAAAATCCTTTGCAGTCGGCTTGTCAGAGCAGGCGGTAGGCAGAAAGGGTCCAAAATGTCAGAGCAAGTTCAGGGGTCCGAATGTTCTCCCACAAAGTTTTCAAGTGTGAAAATGACCGAAGTTAACACTCCTTTATATAGGCGAAGTGAGAAGGCGAAGGGTCACTTCCAGAATTCAAAATTTTGGCGGGAGAATCTCTCGGCCTCTCGCCGAGTGACACCTGTAGCAGGCCGTCGCCTGTTACAGGGCGATACCTGTCACAGGTAACACGTGACCAGTCACGTGCCACCTGTGAGGGGCAAATGATTAGGGGATTTTTCCCCACCAATCACCATCGGACAAGTGGACCAATCAGGTTCCGCCATGTGTCTGTCACATGGGCCAATAGGAGCCTGCCACGTGTCAAACAATGATCCGTCCACTTTGGACCAATTACGACACGACACGTGTCCTTCCCATGACACCTGGGATAACCGGTCACCTAGGCCCAACTTCCGAGGGAAGCCCAATCAGCCCAAGGTTAACCTAAACCTAGATTGACACGTTTCCCGAGGTTATAAATACCTCTCTTAATCCTCATTAAGGGAGATTACGCTAAAAACGCAGATTACACACATTAAACACTCTCACCTAGAGAGACCCAATCACTTTAATTTCCGCATTAATTACTCCTTAATCAAGTACTAACTTGACCGTCGGAGGCGGATTTCCAATCATCCGGAGCATCCGTTTGTTTTGCAGGTACAGGCGTCCGGTTCCAGTCTCGGAATTGTAACTCTCCCGCAGGACATCAGAAAACCCCGAAACAAGAACCCTAGTTATATAGGAACCAATCTCAGCTTTAGGATTAAGTTACTTTGGACGGTTAAGATTAAAACACATATCCTCCCTCAAATCCTTTACTAATCGCCAAAATTTTCTCTCTCCTCCAACTTTTTCTCTCTTCGTGTTCATCACTTTCTCTCTCCTTAAACCCCCAAAAAACTCCATAGAAATTGCAATTTGAAGGATTTTCAAATTAGGTATGTTTTTTTTTTTTTCCGATTTTGTTCAAATTTTCATGAAATTAGCATGATTTTCAAGTAGATTTTGCGATTTTTTTATTTGATTTTTGCAATTTTTCTGTTTTGATTTTCATGAATTTTGCATGAGTTCGATTTTTCGGATTTGATTTTAATGAATTTCGTATGAGTTCGATTTTTTTAGTTCGATTTTTGCAATTTTATGGCTGCAATTTTCAGCGGATTTATGGTTCGATTTTAGGGTTCGAATTTCAGAGATTTAGTGTTCGAATTTCAGCAATATTAGGTAATTTCTGCACTATAATTGGTTATTTATTGTTTTTTTATTGGTGTGGTGGTGCTCTGGTGGACTGAAATGGTGGTCTGGCGGTGGTTTAATTGTTGTTTTGAGGTGCGTGGATTGGTGGAAGTGGGTTGATGCGTGTTGCAAGGGTGGTAAACCTAGCTCTATTGCGTAAATTGTGGCTGTTTGTGGGTGATTTTCTTTTTTTGAGAGTAATAATTTCTTTTAAGCTTGCGATTCTAGCTTGTGAATGCTTTGAGATGTGTAAGTAATATTTTTGGGCTTTTTCTAAGCATGTACCGTGTATACAGATGTTGATTGTTGAAGACATACTAGGCTGATTCTTTTTGGTGGATGAATATTTGGTGATTCACAACCTTGGGAAAGAGACTGAAATTATGTTTCAAATAGGAAAACACATGTTTAAAGAAATTTTTAATTTTTGCTTCTTAGGAGTAATATTCTATATCTCATCCTCCCAAATTCCTACAATTCCATTTTGTCTATGCTCCATGTCAGCTGAAGTTGAAAATAGTGATCTGAAAATGTAAAGAAACTATACTTTATGATCTTTTTCACACTAGTGTTTAGTAGCTTGTGTTTCTTGGAAATTACTTATCAATTTACCTTTCTTTTTTCCAAGCACTTACTGTAGTAGTGCCAACTTTGCTAAGATTTCTTCTTCTTCTTTTTCTTTTTTTCCCTTTTTTTTTTTGTTGTTGTAACTAGGTGCATAGTCCTGGAGCTGATATAGATACCCTATGTGTTGGCCCTAGACATGCTACGCGAGAGGTAAGATATAACTTTTGTCTGCTTCTATACTTTTCCCATTATTTTTTCCTACTTCAGTGCCCCTTTACTTGTTATATTTTACTGGATATAGGAAGATTTCTTTGGAGAACTCCACAGTATGCTTTCTGAGATGCCTGAGGTTATAGAGTTGCACCCTGTGCCTAATGATTTTGTCCCGATGATGAGAATTAAGTTCAATGGGGTGTCCATAGATCTTTATACAAAATTGTTGCATTTGAGTTGCTACATGTGATTGTTTTCCTCTGCTTCTATGGGAGGGTTTTGATCTATATTAAAAACCTATTAGCTCAAGTGGTAGAGCTCTATGCAAATGCATAGATGATGTAGCTTCGAATCCTACATAGGCTATATTTATAAATAACTATATAAAAAAAAACTTTAGAACATAGGGAAAAAAAAAAAACTTTAGAACATAAGTAGACTGAATTTAGAACATAGGTAAGAGAATATTTAGAACAATAAAAAAAAATAGAAAAATAAAAACTTTAGAATATAGGTAGTAAAAATTTAGAACATAGGAAAAAAAAACTTTAGAACATAAGTAGACTAAATTTAGAACATAGGCAAAAGAATTTAGAACATAGGTAAAAGAATATTTAGAACATAAAAAAAAAAAACTTTAGAACATAGGTAGAAAAAATTTAGAACATAGGAAAAAATTAGAACATAGGTTGAAAAAATTTAGAACATAGGAAAAAATTAGAAAATAGGTTGAAAAATTTTTGAACACAGGAAGAACTGACTGACTTCCGGAAGAAAATCTCCCGTTGTTGAGTGCCATTTGATGAGTAACTGAGACCAAAGCCGGGCTCGACAAAATAGAAAGTATCATGGTACGTCGTCCACGGGATTTGGGAAGTGTCAAACTTTAAAACATAAGTAGACTAAATTTAGAACATAGGTAAAAGAATATTTAGAACATAGAAAAAAAAAATCTTAGAACATAGGTAGTAAAAATTTAGAACATAAGAAAAAAAAAAATTTAGAACATAAGTAGACTGAATTTAGAACATAGGCAAAAGAATTTAGAATATAGGTAAAAGAATATTTAGAACATAGGAAAAAAAAAACTTTAGAACATAGGTAGAAAAAATTTAGAACATAGGAAAAAAAAACTTGAGAACATAAATAGACTAAATTTAGAACATAGGAAAAAAAAATTAGAACATTAGTAGACTAAATTTAGAACATAGGAGTAGGCAAAAAAAAATTTTAGAACATAAAAAATGAATTACAGAAATGTCATTACTAAAGGATCATTTTAGATAGTTGGATCAAAATGATAAATGGCTGAGATTGGTTTTTATATAAGATTGGGTTCTTATATAGAGGAGAGTTCTTACATGAGTCTTCCTCTCTCTCTCTCTCTCTCTCTCTCTCTCTCTCTCTCTATATATATATATATATATATATATATATATATATATATATATATATATATATATATATATATATATATATATATATATATATATATATATATATATATATATATATATATATATATATAAAAGCCAACACAAAAACCGTATCAGCTAACAAATGAAACATATCAGCCAACAAATAAAATATACCAGCCAAAAAGTGAAATATATCAGTCAAGTCAGCCGCACCAAATTTGCATGTGGTTGTCCGCACCCAATACCTTCTCAATATTGTAATGCACAAAACTAGGTACTTATAGATTTTTTTTTTTTCCTTCTTTTAATTGAATTGCCAATTTGCCATTACTGTAGCTAGATTCGTTTATTTGTGTTTAATCAAATTTCTTATTTTATCGATTTGTTGCCTACATCAAAAGAGCTTTTTCTTTTATGCTTGTATTTTTATATTCATCAAGAAATGTATTATGATTGAACAAAGATAGGCAAATAGTAACACATATTTAGCACTGTAAAATGGAGTTTACAAGACATACATATTATGTAATGTCGTGCTTTACATTTATGTGCCCACTTTTGGGAACATTCGACCTATTGTAGAGATAAAAAAATTTAAGTCTTTTTCTTTCAATACTTTCTATATCATTGTGAAGTCATGTGCTTGGTTGGTAAGTTATTCAAGGATTATCTTATGTATTGTGTCGTATAGTTATTTTTTTATTTTTTTATTTTTTTATTTTATTTAAGAGGAAAGTGTCATATAGTTAATTAATTGTTATTAGTTTCTTCCTCCGTTTTGTGTGTCTCATCATTTTGAAAAATTTAGATATGAGAGAAATTCAACATGAAAAATCTTTGATAAATATAAGGAAAACGTATTCATGAGCAATTTTGCTAAATTTGTGTCAATGTGTAGATTCAAAATATTAACTTTTCGTAATTTTTATAAGGCCTGATTGAAGAAATTAACGCTTAAATAAATGCATTGAAAATCATGCGAAAATTAGGTGTGACAAACAAAGATGAACGAAGAGAGTATTAAACTCAATATTAACTCTCTTTCATTCCTTGCAAAGGAATGTAAACCAATGTTTCGTAGGTAATCTTCATTGGGCTAAATCAAGCTCATGTCAGAGGACAGTTTCCATATAGAAGTTTCATATGATTTCATCCTAAAAGGGTCAAAACTAATTTAGTAATAAGTGAAATAGTAGTCCACTAAATTTATATATTTGTCATTCTCCTTATAATGTATTACTCTTTTCAATGTGCAACAATAGTAGTCTCAGCTCAATGAAGACAGAATAATATTCTTCAGCTTCGTCATTAGGAGCGGCAACGATCCTATTTTTCTAAATTTTTCATAAATTATTTAGTTCGATTGGAATTTTCTCCTTATCAAATTTAAACCTCAAAACTTTTCTCTTGAAGATTGTGGTTTATCTTTCTTAGGAATTTTTGGTCCTTTTGGTTGAGGTTTTCTTAGGAAATTTGTTTGAGAAATTTTTATGTTATCCAAGATTTATAATGGATACTTACATTAAAAAGGAATAATCATTTTTTTTTACTATTTATCCTTCTTTGTTGGTTTAATGTCTTAGGCCTTGGTCTTTTGAACTTCTAAACAGAGTAAAGTGGAACAGAGCAGAGAAGAGAAGTTGTCAGCATAGCAAAGATGATAGAGTATATAAATCGATCCTGGGTTTCAACCATTAACTTAAACTTTTGATTGAGTTGGTCTTTTAACATGGTAGCAAGAGCCAGGGTGACATAAAGATCACGGGTTCGAATCTCATCCACCCCTCCTTTCAAAGTGGAATATTAAACGCTAGGTATAGTGGGACCCATGCTATATCAACACTTCAAGCCCAATGGGCTCTTTATTATTATTATTACTCCCTACGTTCTTTTTTGTTTTACTCACTTTCCCTTTAAGGCTGTTCTTTTAAGTTCTACTCACTTTGCTTAATATATTTATGCCATATTCATTTTATCATCTTACCCCTCTAAGTCCACAATAATAACACCTTTCCATACTCACTGTCCTGTTTTATTCACTTTTTTCTCACAAACTTACCTTGATACATTATCTCTCTTACTTTATCTTACATAGCAACTACCCACTTCTTTCAACAATTTCTTAAATTGCGTATTTATAGTAATTGAGTAGAACATATAAGAATGGAGGTATAACAATTGTCAGCAAGCAAAGCAAGGGTCGACAGAGCATAGCATAAAAATAGAGCTCAAAAGAACAAGGCCTTATTCTCTTTAACTTGTTAATCATGTTTACTTTATTGATTATCGTTTTTACTTTCATGACTATGTGAGAAATTTTCCAAATCCGAGATTTAGCGGAACCCAAATATGATTGATGCATGAATTAACTCATTAAATTCTCCAATAAATAATCTAATTGACATGCTTAATTGATTGCCCTTATGCCAATACTAGATTAGAATAATTAACATTATTATCATCCCTTTGTTTTTATCACAACGGAAGTTGGGTTTTAATGGGATTGTTTATTTCAACCAAGGGTTTAAACTTCTTCACAGGAATAGTTGAATGTTGGATAGTGTTGATTGAATGTTGTCCCGCCTTGGATTTGGGCCCATTTGGACAGTTAGACTTTTATCAATTTTAGCTCAGTTTCTAACTGTTCTCTTGGGATTTTCTCTTCGGGCCCACAGGATACTTTTAAAAGGAAGTTTTTGAAAAGATACCAAATTCTTTTTTTTGTTTTTTTCATTTACTTGTATTTTTTTATTTTTGGAAAAACTTGTACCAATCATTTTTGCCATCAACTTTTACTGTTTTACACCATTATCAGCAATCATTGATCAATATCATGTGAAAGCAATGGAGAAAAAAAAACAAAGGGAAAAGATTAAAGCGAATGGGGAATATAAGTATTTTGTAGCTTAAATATTAATGTATCTCTGTTCTCATTAATGGATGCAACGTTTTGACCTTATTTTGCATTATCAAACATATTTTTGAGTTTTGACCATTAGTTTTTGTATAAATTTATTGTTAAAAAAAATTATAAAAAATAAAAATATTGAAAATTGATAAATTTGAAGAAAAGATAGTATTATGGCTTTTTTATTATTCATCAATAAGTAGAATATTTATACAAAACCTAAAATCATACGATAGGAAGCTTTCTTCCTAAAAGATATACTAGCATAACCATAAATCCTAAATATATATTCACTAAATAATATCTTAACATAAATAAATCCAAAATATATTATTCTATGGAAAATATATCACACATATATTTTTCGGTATCTCATATCTCTACCACCCTCCCGCAATCGTAACGGCAGCAACACGAACGTTGCAATTGGAAATTCTTCACTTTGTTGAAGTCAATCGAGATGCACTACTCTGTTGATGTCGCCTTCAATTTTTTTTCTTCTTTTTTTTTCAATGAAGAGAACGTTCATCTTTTTCGAACTCATCAGTCCTCAATCAAGCAGGAACGTCATTCTTTTCGAACCTGCAAATATAAAAATTTTGGTTTTCCTGAGCAAAACCGAGCTCCAATCAAATATTGGTTTTTCAGCAAACCACACTCAAATCTTTTATTGGTTTTATTTTAGAGCAAAACCAAACTCATCCAAAGGAGCAAAATCATGCTCGAATCAAATCACAAACCCTGTCTCATGGCACAAGGAAAACCAACAAATATACCCTGTCTCACGGCATAAAGAGAGCCAATTCATCTTATCTCACGACACAAGAGAGCCGTTTTTTTTTTCTTTTTCTTTTTGATAAAATAAAATCATAGTTCTGATAGATCCCTTATTTTCACCTCGTCAACAAACTCACAAAAAAAAAAAATCTCATGACTATATTGTAGCAAGCAGCACAAACCCAAAGTAACGCAAGTAATTTCCAACTAATAAATGTAGTTGGACAACCAACCTGATCTTTAGAAAAACATCAAAGCCAAACGAACAATGTAAAAAAAAAATTAAAACAATTTGTTCATAATCCCACCGGTGGGTTTAATCAGCTTTTTCATTTAGGCTTAAAAATCAGCTTTTTCGCTGAATAAAAAGCTAATTACCAAACACTTTTTTTGGGTGTTTGACCACATAAAAAAGCCAAAAACCAAAAGCTAACCAAAAAGCCATTTACTAAACATGGCCATACTTGTATATTACTCGTCTCTTTTTTTTGCTTTATTTGACTTTTACGATCTCCAAGACGCATTTTAAACGTACATATCTCTAGTTTTATAAGCGTAAAATTGTAAGAAATACAATGTTAATAAAATATAGAATGGGAGGAATCCAATTATCCAACGAACATGAATACATGACAATATTATCTGTTATAGATTAATGTTAATTTATTATTAAAGTTTTAAAATTTGACCAGAATATTAACAATGAAAAAAAATAGGAACAGAAGAAGTATAAAAGTAGCATTTATTAAAATTTCATATTGACGGCCTTGTTAATTAACCACATTGGTATGGAGGCAACAATGTACTACCTCCGTTAAATGTTTTGTGCAATTTTTGCCAAAAACAAAAGCTAAACATTATGTGCAACTTTTCCAAATCTTTCCATTTTTGGTAAAATTTTTTTAACAAAATTACAAAACACCCTTCTTGTAAAAATTTATAACCTCAATTACATTCTTAATAATAAAATTAATTAATTACTAATGTAACCTAATTAATCTAACTATTCCTACAAATTTATTTTATCTTCCTCAATAATAACCAGTCAGCTTAAAAAGCCAATTTCAAAAGCCATTATAAATAGCCAAATATTTCAACTGGTCAAACAAGCCAAGTGAATCAGCCAACCTCCAACCACCAACCGCCATTTGTCAAACAAGGCCTATGTCAAATGGAAGCTACGGTCCAACCAGGCAGCCACTGCATTTGATAAGTGCTCAAATGCGTCTGATACAATACTAACGTCATTTTTTATAGCAACATTTTGAACCTTTTCCCACTACACTAATATAGATTAGACGATGCAAGAAGTCTTGTTGAACTTTCATTATTTGTGGGCTTGATTCTGTCCATTAAAATTTATTGGACCCAAGCCAAACATGACATACAATATGAAAGTTTGATAGTACACAAGGGTGTACCATGCTCATGGTACACCTGCTGAGTTGGCAGGATTAATTCCATTAATTTCTAATTACGGGAATTTAAAAAAAAAAAAGGAGACAGTTTAACATCACGTGAATTTTGCTAAATTGTTGCCGATTTTATAGCTTTCAGTTTTTGCTAATTTTTGTTAACTGATATTTTCAAAAAAGATTTAGAGAGGGAAAATCATAGAGATTTCAAACTTTTTAGTGAGAGAAAATTACAGAGAGAGAATTACAGAGAAAATTTTGAGGATCAATCATTTGAATTCATTGTAGAAGAAGTTAATAATGGTTTATCAATCTGAATTTCGCCATGATTCTAATGCTAGATTTGTCGATGATGCAAATGATTATGATATCAACGATGAAGGTGAAGTCGAGGGTATCGTAAACCTCAATGAAGGTGAATTGTTTAATTCATTATATTTTTCATTTGTTAATCATTAATTTTGATTATTAGATTTAGTTATTACTAATAATTTTAATTTTATTATCGAATTACTTTATATTTTTAATTTCACAGTGATTTTCATGAGGTTGAAGATGAAGTTCTTTTATTATTTACATATGTTCTTTTTTATTTGTTATTATATGTAATTTGAAATCAATGTTGATTTTATTTATTAGTGCATGTGCAATTGTTAATTATATAGGTACTTTGTAGTACTCTTTATATACTTTTATTGTAATGGAATGTACTTTCCTGAAAGAGTTGTGTACTTTCGTTGTACTCTGTTTTGTATTTTCTGTAATTAATGTGCCGTTATCAATGTGCATTTAATAAAGAACATTACAAATATATTAAATAACATTTTATACCTTTAAAAGAACATCATGTTATTATGTAAGAACATCAGCTTAATATATATGTATTTTGATATCCTATTTCAGGTTTTACCGAGGCAACTGAATCAGAATTATTTGACAGAAAAGTTAAGTCTGATGAAGAGGCTTATGATTTGTATAATAGTTATGCATTTAAACATGGTTTTGGTATACGTAAAGATAGGTTGAATCGTAGAGATGACAAAGATAGGACACCTAGGCAACGCTTTTTGGTGTGTTCTTTTGCTGGCTTTAAGCAAGAGAAGAAGCATGGTGAACAATCAAAAGTTTACCAAAAGAGGAATTTCCGCACAGGTTGCAAGGCTCATATACAATTTGATATTGATAAGGTGTCTGGTTTGTATGTCGTGGTCAATCACACTATGGTTCATAATCATAGTAGGGTTCCTGTTTCAAAGAGACATTTGATTAGGTCTCATAGGAAGGTAATGGTATAATTTTTAAAATTATTTTAAATCATGTTCTTAAATGCGCAATATATGTTTTTTAACAAATACATGATGTTCTTTTTTTTGAAACAATGTGTTTTTTTGTATGTACACAGGTTACTAATGAACAAGTTGTGATGATGAGTAGCTTGACTGAGAGTAGTATACCTGTTGCTGATGCAGTGCGTGTTTTAAAACATCAAGCTGGTGGAGAGGCAAATCTTTCATTTCTTTGTAGGGATGCGTATGGTGCTTTATCCCAACATAAGAAAATGATGTTTGACGGTTGTGATGCAAAGCGCTTGCTTAGCTATTTTAAGGAGAGGAAATCTAGTGAGTATGACTTTTTTTATGACTTTGATGTTGATGAAAAAGGTCATTTGCAATCTTTCTTCTTTCGTGATAATAGAATGAAGGTAGATTATGATGCTTTTGGTGATTTATTAGTCCATGATACAACGTACCGTACAAACAAATATGGTATGATTTGTGGACCTTTTGTTGGTATGAATCATCATAACAATAATGTCATGTTTGGTATTGGCTTCTTGATCAATGAAAAATGGGAATCTTTTGAGTGGTTGTTCAATACTTTTTTGAAATCCATGGGTGGAAAACATCCTGTGACAATAATGACTGACCAAGCTCAAGCAATGGCCAAAGCAATTAAGGTTGTCTTCCCAAATTCCAGACATCGACTATGTACGTGGCATATTGGGGAGAATGCAAAGAAAAATATCAAAGGACTTAGAGCAAAGGAAGGTTTTAATGATTTGTTTGATATTGTTTTGAAGTATACCGATACTATTCAAGAATTCGAGCACTATTGGTCAAGGTAACGCTATGAATTAATAATTTTAAAATTATGTTATTTAAATATTTTACTGATTCAATGTTCTTTAAGTTGCTAGACGATGTTCTTTATTTTCATGTTTAATGTTCTTTTGTAATTTATTTGATGTACTTCTCAAGTACACCCAATATGCTGGATTAATATAGAGAGATGTTCTTTTTTATTACATGTGACATTCTTTTTACTTAAAATAATGTTCCTTGTGTTGTTCGTTTAATGTTCTTTTATCATATATTTGATGTTCTTCTGAAGTGAACTTAATGTGCTGGAATTAAGTAGACAGATGTTCTTTTCTATTATATTTGACATTCTTTTCACTTAGTATGATGTTCTTTTATTTTACAGCATGCAGAAAACGTACAAATGCACAGATAATAAATGGCTGCAAAATCTGTATAATATCAAAGAGATGTGGTGTCCTGCATATTCCAAAGATTATTTTAGTGGCGGTGTTATGTCATCTCAGAGGAGCGAAACTACTAAAAAATCAGTTTCCCGTCGACTACATGCCACTCATGGTCTATGTGATTTCTACACTACTTTTATTGAGGTTGTTGATGAGTGGAGGAGTAGAGAAGGTAGTAATGATTATGATAGTATGACTGGAAATCGTCATTTAGTTTGGGCAGATATTGGATTGTTGGAGCATGTAAGGAAGATTTATACTATTCAAATCTATTTACATTTGAAGACAATTTTGTCAATGGTGTTCCCTGCATGGCAAAGGTAATAGGATTTCAACCTCCACTGTATGAATATCATGTTGGGCATCCAAAAAAGGATTTGATCATGCATACTGTTGCATTTGATGAATCAATAGTTACAGTTGATTGTACTTGCAAATATTTTGGTGAGGTAGGTTTTTTGTGCAAGCACTCACTTCGTGTCTTACACTTAAACAACATTACTTATATCCCTAAGAGATACATTTGCAAGAGATGGACAAAAGCTGCTATGTGCACTAGAGTTGATGACAATGATGTTGCTGAAATGGGTGTCACTCCTTGTAGTGTATGGAGATTGTATCATATTCGTACATTTATCACACTTGTAGATCGAGCACAAAATGACTTGAGTGCTCAAGCTGTCATTGAGGAAGTAATTGAAGAATGCACTGCTAGGATTAATCTCTTGATGGGAGAAGATAAAGATGTGCCACCTGAGTTATCAAAAACGAATGAACAAGATGTTACTCAAGAAAAAGGTGATGGCAGTCTATTAGAACCAGCAGTAATATTTGAGGAATTGGCTGAAGAACATGGAGGACTTGAAAAAGAACATGGAGGTTTTGAAAGAGAACATGGAGGCATTGTTAAAGAACACACAGTTCAGGTAGATGTCAAGGATCCTATCAAAAAAAGGAAAAAGGGTCAAAAGAATACTAGGTGGAAAAGCACACAGGAAAAGGTTTCCAACAAGCTCAAAGGTCAAAAGATAAAGTCATGGAGAAAGAAAAGCGCAAAGGGTGTTTCAAAGATGAAACAAAAAGCACAGACTACGATTAAGGTATATATTGTTCTTAATTATATTATATTACATTCTTTTATGGTTACAACTTGTTCTTTCATTTTATACATATTGTTCTTTTACTTAAATAATTTTTTATTTTTTTTTTTGGAAGGATTTCCTCCCTGTACCTGATGGAAATAGACTGGCACATTCCAACGAATTTGGAGGATCTTTGGAGTTTTTTGAGCCTGATGACTATTTTGGAGTGAATATTAGAGAATTATAAATGATATGTACTATTTAGTCTACGTTAACAATTTTTTTATTTCATATTTGTCCTTATATTTTTTTTAATTTTTTTTTAATAAGATCTTATAAATTAGAACACTCTATTTCAGTTTTTTTTTAACAAGACATATTTTGCATATTAATGGTGGTTACTGTGGCCTATAAAAAGACATATTTTGTGTTAGTTTATAAGACATATGATGCAAAATAACTAGAAATAAAATTTCACTGAACAAAAAGAACATCAGATGTTTTTAAAAGAACATTATATGTAATCAATAGAACATTATATGTTAATAAAAGAACATTGTTTGTAATCAAAAGAACATTGCATAAAGTCAGAAGAACACATGTTGTATAAAGAACATTTTACATGTTCATTCTATTCTTTCTTCCAAATCAATATGCTTCCAAAGTTTATTAGCCCCAACTATACAAAAAATAAACAGTGCTAATTGTTCAACATCCACCAAATTTTCAAAAAGACATACTTGTTCAAAAACTAACACAAGTGTCTCTAATCATTCCTAATTTCCTTGAAATATTTCTTGGCCTTCATGCTAAAATCTGCATGGCGCTTATTCACTTGATCCACAAGAATCTCATATGCGTACTGCATTCTAAGTGCCTTCAATGCATCAAACTATTCACCCACAAAAAAGAAAAAAAACAAAAGAATAACATTAATGTTTGTTATTTTCTTAAATAAAAAAATACAAAATATGATAATATTACATTATCAGCCCTCAAGCCACAATTCCATTTACGCTTCCCGAAGTATGTCTCCATGTGGCGCATTGCGTATATTCCGCAATCAACATTGTTGTCCAATGTTCTCCATGGCATGTCTACCAATTTTATTTCATAGTTGAGGACTTTTTCCCATAACTTCATCCCATGTTGTTTCAGGTACATTGAGAAGGCATGCCTCTACCATACACAACGAAAGAATATAAAAGTTAGACAAAAAGAACACTATATATTTTAATTAAAAACATACATTATTTATAAAAGTTAAATAACATCCTTACCAACTTCTCTGGATAGTCATGGTACTTTTCTGAAAAAGGAACACCCTCTACAAGTGGTCTGTTATCCAAAATTTCCACAGCCTTTGATTTTGTATTTATGACCATCACATAAAAGTGGTCGTGCGCATACACAGGGAAAAACAACTGAAACAGGCAGATAAAAAAACATGTACTTTAAAAAAAAACATTGAATATACTATAAAGAACATGATATAATCATGAAAGAACAACACACGTATATAAAAGAACAATCAAAGAAATAAAAAGAACATAGTGAAGGAAGTCACAGAAAATGTGTAACTAATCCATGAAAAGAAAATATACTAAAATCAGAAGAACACTACTTAAAAATTAAAGAACATATACTAAATTCAGAAGAACACTACTTTAAAATAAAAGAACATTATATGACTTACCAGCTGATATCCTTTAACTGATTCTATATTGCAATCAATTAGCCAATATCTGATTGTCTCTTCGAATTTAACATATTTGATACCATATTTAGCTTCTTGACTATCATCAACATACGCATCGCTCACGCATAACAAGTTCTATGTTTTATAAAAACAAAAGGATTAGAATCAAATTAATAATATATCCTAAAAAAAAAATAGGGATCAAAACCAATTGAATTACACTTACAATGGCTGCATTTGGGAAGAAAATCCTCTTTTTGTCATCAGCAGAATTTTTTGCATTAAGTATGAGACAAAAAGCGTCAACTATATCGTTGTAGATGTATACATTGTCGCCCATTGTTTTGATCAATTTTCTTGACAAATGTGCAAATCCATTGTCATAAAATAACTCACTACATAAAAAGAAAAAAATATAGAAATATTAAATAAGGGTAATAAAGCTTGTTTTTCATCAATTTCATATGAAAAAGCATAGTTTAGTACAAGGAATAAAATCATAATCTTCATCAAGTACATCTGAAAAAGCATATTCCAGTATAGCATCTTTGAACTCATTTGTGCCCTCTATCAAATGAGAATATTGCACTAGGAAAGGAGACCTGTACACCTTTCCCAACTTCCTAGCTCTCTTTGTAGGTGTTGGACCAACACTGCAAATAAAATTTTATGTAAAAGAACATACATATCATTTGAAATAACAAACAATACTTTTAAAAAGAACATATATTTCTAAAAAAAAGAACATATACCTTTGTTCTTCCACTTTCTCCTTTCCTTTCTTTTTTTTTTTTTGCAATCTACCTTTTCTGTAGTTGCATCACTAAAAAGGCACACATATATAATTAATCATACTATTCAGTATAATAATTATCTTTTATAGATTTTTTTATAAAATTTTTATAAAAATAACAAAGAACAAAACGTAAAGAACATACAGTTTTTATAAAAGAACATATACCTTTTTTCCTTATTTTCCTCCTTTCCTTTCTGTCTTTTTGCTCTAACATATACCATCTCTTTTTCGGTTGCATCACTATATTAATCAATAATTGTAAGAAAAGAATATTTATGAAGTAACAACAATAACCCATAATAATTATAAAGTCTATGTATATATGTATATACCTTTGATTTTCAGCTACATTTTCTTCTACCACCTTCTCAAATTTACCCTGATCCTTGTTTTCATCTGGCATCCTTTTTACACTCAAAGGTAGTTATATTATACATCATTAATAAAAAAAACATACACTAAATGATATGATACCATAAAGAACATCAAATAAAAAATCAAAGAACATCACATAAAATCTCTGAGAACATTATATAAAATCAAACAGAACATTACACTTTATAGAATATTATATGACAACACATAGAACAACATATGAAATTGTAAAGAACAAGTTAGGAAATCATAAAGAACATTCCAACATTCATCTAAATAATACATAAATATTACAGATTTGTATTCTAAATCATTCAAATCTAAATAAATATACCACACAAATCTGAAATCACATTTTGAGATTATTAGTTACCCTGTCTTTTGACCATCTAACATCTCCTCTGGTACACTTGGTTCCAACTGTTGGTCAGTGAAGGCTGAATCAAATTCACCGATGTCAGAAAATTGTTGGTTTCCCAGATTGAGGGGACTTGCTGTGCTCAATGCCAGTTTCAGGTCTAGATCACCTGTATATTGTGTTGGTGGAGTCAAAGGGGTAACCACACTGAATACCAATGGCTCCAACTCAGTGGGTTGAGAATCCTCCTCTTCACCTCCTTCTTTCTCTTTCTCCACAGTGATTCCTTCCACTCCAGAATTCTTGACAACATTGTCAACCATCTCACCAAACCAGTCAGATGCAAAGAACTCTGTATCTTGGCTCAGGATGGAACTCCCCTCAACCCTTTGAGAAGGTACATTGTTTATTACTTTTTCCGACAATTTAATGCCAGAAAGTCTGGACCACATTGCAGCTACATTGTACAGTGTGGCATCCCCATCAATAGGTATATTATGGAACCTCTCTCCCATCTTAAGAATTTTGGAGAGGTTCACAAAGCCAGAAGCAATTGTTTCTGTTGCTTGGCGTAGCAAATGGGTGTATTCCTACAAAAGAACAAAGTACAGAAAAAAAAGAACATGTAATTAATAAAAAAGTACATAAGTATAATCATGAAAGAACACTAAAAATTATAACACATGCAGATTAGAAAATAAAAGAACATGTAAGGAATAAAAAAGAACATAACCATAGTCATTAGAGAACACTGAAAATTAAAAAAATACATGCTTAATTAGAAAGCAAAATAACATGTAATTAGTTGGAAAAGAACATAAGTCTAACCATTACAGAACACAAGTTTAACCATTAAAGAACATAATATTTAACCATTAAAGAACATACTTTATATATTTAATTATAAAATGCTTACCTGTAAATTAGAAGGTTCTTGAGGTTGTTGTTGTTGTTCCTCCTGAACTTGTTGCTGCTGCTGTTGTTGTTGTTGCTGTTGTTCCTCCTGCTGCTGTTGTTGTTGCTGCTGCTGTTGTTGTTGTTGCTGCGATTGTTGTTGTTGGTCCACTACACCTTCAATAGCTAAAGGCTGGCCACAACCATCTTGGATCTCAATTCTATCCAACAGTGTGCCAAGCCCAAAGCCAAGCTTCCTCTCAATAGCAATTCTTTTTGCTATTTTATCACTATCCCATTCTTTGATTAAAGGAATTTGTCTAGGCATAATGATATTTTTCCTTCGTAGTCGATCAAAGTAACAAACCTGTTAACAAAAAACCCAGTACGATAAACACATATATATCTATATACAAAATATTTAAATAAAAGAATAAATAAAAGTGGAAACTACCATAAGGAATGGTAGTGGACCAGGAAAGTATCTCTTCACATCTCCTTGATAGTAAATAGAACTGTCAATCAAGCTTTGTATTGTGTAAGAACACCAATCAAAACTTGAAATTTGACTTGTGTCAACAGCTGTGTGCATGAATCTAGCCAATAAAATAACAAAATATAAGAAAGAACATCATATAAAATACTAAAGAACATGTCAGAATTAACAAAAGAACATATAGTTTTATAAAATAGAACATAGCATACAATATATAATAAGTAACAGATATATTATTCTAAAAAACATTACAGTTACATATAAAGAACATGTTATGTATATAAAAGAACATAACAAATAATTAGCTAAAAAAACATTAGTTTAGGGAATAAAGAACATTACTTGAATAAGGGTTGTGTGTTAGCCACAGACTTAATGCAGCAATTCACCACTAGCAATGAAAAACTCCTCTTCCATCTATCATCTGGTGGGTTGTTTGGTTCCAACAAGTCATCAACCAAAGCCGAGAATTTTGGAATTCCACCACCACCATGATAAGCTTTCAATTCTCTCATCACCATCACCATCTCCTCATTCTCATTTGCAGCCTCAACTATCACTTTCCCTCCCATAGGTAAACCATACACCAAATGAACATTAACAGGTTTGATGTCTATTGTCCTATTTCT